ATAATGGGTACAAATAAAGTTCTTGTTTCTAATGTTTAAGCAGGAGGCTCACATCACCAAGGTGTTTTTCAGAGAGGTCCCACTTTTTTGTCCAACTTATTAAACCTGATACTGCACATGCCTGCCGGTAGTAATTAATTTATTATTCTGAATTTCTATTCTATATTATAGGCAGATGTTGGTGTTTTGTAGATTCTATTTAGTTAAACAGCTACAGTAGTCCAGAAAAAACCAAGAATTTAAAAATCCTTTAAATTATCATATTTATTTTGACTGCAGTATACTAAAGATACATTTTCGTAATTTCTTTTTCAATTTTTTTCTTAAACATGTACAGAGTTGCTATTGTAAATGTCTTATGCTTGCCAGAATTACTATTTCTTTTACCATACCATATCTATCATCTGGTTAAAAAAACGTAGGGTAGCACCTACAGGCATTAMTAGCCAGTGGCAAACAAACCTGTGGCTCTCATTCCTTGTTCAAATAATTGGAATTTTGTAGGAGTTGATTTTTGTAGAGGTAGGGAAAACCCTCTAAAAGCACAGGAGAGAACCAACAAACAACCTTTTAATGATACCCAGCCTGGCTGCAGGACTCTAACCTGAGTCGCATTGGTGAGAGGCAAGTGCTCTCACCGCCATGCCACCTGTACTTCCATGTTTTTAGTCTTCTTCTATTTATATATTTCAATTAACACTTTGGTCATTAAATAATCTGCCATTTCTAATATTTTATAAGTATTCTTTTAGAATTATATTATGTATATATGTTTTAGTATTATACTGTACTTGGCAGAGATATATTYTTGATTATAGTAGTGTGATTTCATATGACTGTATACATTGAAAGATTGTCTGGTTGATTGCTTAATTTTTACATATATATAACCTGATGAAACTATTGCAATATATTGCTCTCTTCCTTTACAAGAAAAAACCATATTTTGCAATGCAATATGAATTTACATCAAGTAATTTTTTCTATAATTATTATTTAATAATAATCATAATCATAATAATGATAAGAATTATAATTATAATTATATGAAGTATGAGAAAAATGTGATCCCATGAATACTGTATTTTTTCTTAATTTAAGAGTGATTTATGAAGATATCAAGAGTATATTTTGCTGTCATCATCAAGCACCCTCATTAGCATTAAATGAAAATAATGTTTTTATTTTGTTTTTAATCTAGAGATTTTCATCTCAAAATTAACACACACAAAGCTTGTATTTCTATCATTAAATGTTAAATGTTATTACTGTGTTTACTCTACATGACTTTGGATCAGAGAGGAAAAAAACACCAGCAGTCATTAATATTTTAAAACGCTCATCCTTTGATAACCCTAATTTGTCAAAATATTCAGGGTCTCTTAGACATTTAAAATGAAATGTCTGAATCATGCCTAAATTTTTTTTACACGATTTTGAATCTAAAACATAATCAGAGGTAAGATTTTAGCAACAGTTACTGTGGTTTTATCTTGAAAGGTTATCAAAAAGAAGGATTAAATGTATGTAGAACATTCTTTTGTATAAATTAACATGATTTATTTTGTCTGCAGCATTATCATCTGACAGAACCAACCAGATGACAAAGACCCACAATGACCTGGATGCTATTTTACAACTCCTCCAGGAGGCAAGTTTTAAATGTTCCCTTTCTAAACTGATTCCAATGGACAAGATTCCCAATTCTAGCCAAAATATTCTATGTGTGGCATCCTTGAGTATGATTTTGAGTTTAACAGTTTGTTACATGTTATGCAGAGTTTCGTTTTACGAAGGAAAATGCAAATCAAGGCAAGATGCTTGATCTCTGATTACATACATTTTTTCTGTTCAACTGAATGGTTTGACATTTCAGACATGAAAACAATATTTCTTCGTCATTTAGAAATTTGGTTCCTAAAGAATTTATTCTGGGAATTTGAAAATGTCGAAGATTTCCTTGGATTGTATTTCTCAAGTCATCTGCTCATACTGTAACCTATTTTGTCCATATTCATTTCTGCAAATGTCAAATATAATATGTACATATTTAATAACTATCCGTGTCTGTTTGTATTTTTGTTCATTTTATTCATGTTTTACTTTTAGAATTTAGGAAAAAATGATTATTTAGTATCTTTACTTAAATGCATTTTTCTAATTTTGGTAAATTTTTTCATACAGAAAGAAAAAGATCTCGAACTGGCAGCTAAAATTGGCCAGGTAAATAAATGACATAATAACACCATAGATGATAAAGTATTACATTTACAAAGCAAACCATTATGCTCCATTTGTTTTAAATGTAAGCCTTGTATAGCTCATTTCATCTTATTCTTTACTCTAGTATTTATTAATACTTTTTCATCTGGGGTTTTTCTGAGGTAAAAAATGAATTGCATTGTCTTGTTAACTGATTTTTCAAAATTAAACTTGAACAAATATTGTTCTTATCTTGATGACATTTGTATCAATATGGAGTCCTAAATATGTACTTTTCCTTGGTGATTTGTCATAAGGTTGAAATTGAAGCATTCTCATATTGTTCAGATATTAGAAATATCATTATAATATGCAGCTTTTTCTGTACTATAACTTAATCTTTATTCATGTGGTTTATATGGTAAATCCCTTCTATTTGTGGTCAAATATAATACAGCTGTCAGAACAGATTATTATGTAAGAGAAATAAGTCTTCAAAAATTGATTATTTTTTGAAAACATCTTCCTGTTATATACCACAGAGGTAGTAGTTAATGTGACGTAGTTTTTATTTATTAGGGCACAAGGTGGCATTGCAAGGAGCAGGGTGGGAAATGGGGGAGAGGTTTAAAGCTTAAAGCACTTAAGCCATATGCCATAATAAAATATATAACTAGCTATATATTTCACAATTTTTTTGCCACCTCGCATTCCAATTTTTAACAAAATATGGCCATTCATAAAACTCGTCCAGCAACCATTTCCTTCATTATAGGGTTAAAAATAACGGCTGCTCAATAGTCAAACATGATAATGACTTTTCACATTAGACTGATCATCATACAGTATGACCAGTCAATGTAACCAGTCAAGAGGACTGGCCTAAGATGAATAAGGCCCAACAAGTGCCTATTTTGGCCAAACATTTTCCATTGACTGGTTGATATTTTTAAACCCTTTTTAAATTTTAAATTATACTGCAATAATGTCTTATTGTGCCTTGACCCACTGTGTTAAATTTTGCTGTTACAAGAGAGTTTTGTACTTTCTAAAAATAGCACCAAAGAATGAGGCTTCAAGAAAACGATGAAGTAATTAATCATTTTTGGGGGTTGTTTCCACCTCGTTTCTGCCTACACTATAGTGATCACTACTATACTAGAGGGATTTTATTTATATCCAATTTATCTAATTTATCTAATATTCAGAGTAAAACAAAAGAAAGCAATGGGATTAATGTCAACTACTTTGTATTATGCTTACTATTCTTTTATGGGCAAAGTAAAATCATTTGATTTAAAGATTACTATTCAAAAATCAGACGTGCACATGTACACACAGTGTGAAGTCACTGATGCATCTAGGATGATAAAGCATGTTATTTTTGGTATAATTCCTCTTCAAAATGCATAATTACTGTAGTCTAAGTCTGAGAATAGTTAATACAATGAACCAACATATATATTTCTGCTTTCTATTTTCCTAGTCTCTCCTGGAGAGGAACAAAAGTCTTATGCACAAAACCGAAACTATGGAAAAGTATCTTAGCGAACATAGTGATAGGGTATGTAATTATTAATTATGATATTTTGATACAACTTAATATATTCTTACATCATGCAGTTATTTTTTTTATGTAATTGGCTTTTTTAGTGGTTTTAGAATTCCATTTACAAACAGGGCTCGTATTTATCAGTCTTGCTTTCCATTCATCAAATAACCATGTACTGATCTGGTTTTTAAATTTTTGTTCCATTTCATAACACTGTTCATCCTCCTTCTTTTTCTCTGTTTTCTGTTCTTCATTTCCTGGAAGTAGCAATTGCTCCACTAGATGCCCTGTGTGGTCATCTGGGCATACACTGCAGGATAGCGACATACAAAAATTGTGTACTTTCTAAAGGATGTTTGCAAAAACACTAGCTAGTAGGTGGTAATGGCTAGGTTCTAAATGAGCATGATTTTGTTTACAGGAAGAGCAGCTACGTCATGACATTGTAAGGAAGAATGATTTACTACAGAAGTTTCTCAAGGATCAGGAGGACTTGCTCTTGGAGGCTGATAATAGATCTGAGGATGAAGCTAAAAGGTGTGTTGTAATTGATTTATTTAACATGTATTTGAATTATCTACTTGTAATAATAATAATAATAATAATAATAATAATAATAATAATAATAATAATAATAATAATAATAATAATAACTTGTAATTCTTTGTGAATGATGGATGTGAGCGAGCAAGAGTTGTGTTGTAATAGGCCCTTTGCAGCTCAGTAATTACATGCTGATTAATTCACTGAGAGCAAATGAATGAACATTTTGATTCCCATGGGTGAAATATACTGGTGAGCAAACAAACTTTCTACAACCTGTTTCGAGAGATTGTGATAAAACTGCATTTCGTATTACACTGGTTACACATCGCTTCATTCAGTTTTTTTTAAGTAGCTAAAAAGAATCGCCAATTTAAAAGAAAATACAAATAAAAAATTTTCCTCACCAGTACAGACACATGACCATTAACTGCAAAGGACCTATTCTCAGAGAGTTTAAAGCATAAGTTGCCCAAATTTTATGCTAATCAAGAACATTTGTCCTCATGAATTATTAATGAGTTAGAATAATGTATTAATAATATCCTTGTAGTTCTGAAAGCGCTTCACTTGTACGAGATGATTCATTTGGCACCTTACAAGACAAGTGTCATGTACTTGAGCAACAGAACACTAGATTTATTCTTGAGGTAAGAAAAATGTGTAAAAATTGTATAAGCATTTAGATACTTGCCTGCTTGCCTGCTTGCCTGCTTGCCTGCTTGCCTGCTTGCCTGCTTGCCTGCTTGGTTCACTGATTGCATGGTTGATCGTATGTTTTTTTCAGGCACTGCATTTGAAGGAGCAGACAGCCACAGAGGAGCTGAAAGAAAGGCAACTAGTAGCTGACTGTGTTCAACAACTTTGTGAGTAATTATTTAAAGGTTTTAAAATGCCTTGATTTAGTATATTATTAAAAATGATTCCTGATACATCACAGTCATTAGCATATGGTGCTTAACTTTCCTAATCAAATGAACAATGAGATTATGTGCCAAACGATACTCGTGCCAGTGCAAATCACTATTATATAGAATTTGCCTATGCAAATAATTGCGTTGTTTAATTGCAGTGCTTATTGAAGCAGAAAACCTTTCAGGTTGGTGCTGTTTTTTAATTCGGAGCGTCTTAAAGGAATATACTGTGTGTCAAGAATGCTGTTAAATAGACAATGCCATTGTTCTAATGCTTCATTAGGAAATATAATGTCTAATGTATGCCAAGGAWCACAGTCTAGGTCAAACAATACATTCTCAACAGAAACATTTTTGACTGAGGGAATAAAGGAGTGGTCATCCAGGGGTTTCAATAGAAGGTGGCTACCGGCGGTTTATCGCCGGGTACTTACCTTCATACCGCCGGCTATTTTGCGAATCAGTCTTAGTAAATAAGAAGTAAAATTTGTGGAAACAGACGTGTACTTTTGAGTTTCATCCATCTACTTCAAATATTATTGAAAGCCCTGTCATCGATTAGAGTGCATCCATCGAGTTTTGGGTGCACGTGGGAGGTTCTTAAGCACAAAGGAAGCATAAGAGTCAACTGATGTCAGCGTGTACCATTGATTTTTGGATGCATCCTCATGCACAACAATTAAGCAATCAGAGTGTGCATTATATCATGGCTCAAGGGCAGATCCAGGGGGGCAAAGGGGGGCTGAAGCCCCCCCTCAGCAGAAAAATAAAAAACAAGACCAAACTGAAGAATTAGATACTTTTTTTATTGTTTTCCGTTGTGTTGACAGAAGAAACTCGATTTGCCCCCCCCCCCCCCTAAAATTTTGGCTAGATCTGCTCTTGTGGCTATGTTATAAAAGTAATTGTCTTATGGCTGGTATTTTCAGTTTGGTAGTTCTAGATTTCCATGAAGCATGCATAAACCACTAAATGATCACTAAGTGATAAGGATAAAGTACAAGATTTCAAAAGCTTTTCCATTAGTATAAACATGATTATTCTTCTCCTTCTAATATTGAGAAGCACTGTAAGATACCAAACTTCCAACATAAATAACAATCTTGGAATATTTTCCATATCTAAATAATATTCACTATTACATAGAGGTTATTAAACTTCTAGTTGTGTAATACAGCCAGATAATTATTTTATGAGTAAAAGGAGCGATATTTCACCTGAGCCGCACAAAGGAAAAGGAGAAAATTTCCTTGCACTGACATCAGCAAAAAAACGTTCAAAACCGATTCACAGATTGTGTTTTATTGCTCTGTAATTAATTGCACTCAAAATTAATCTTAATGTGTGGTTCCGGGAATTATCCATACCCACCCCACAGAGGAATTTGGAATTTCTGAAGAGTGGGGGGTCAGAGAAAGAACAAAAATTACTTTGTATGGAAGAAAATTGGAATTTCCAGGGGGTAGCGGGGTGTCTTAAAAAAATTCCTCCCTGATGTGGGTATGGATAATATTTGGAACTACACAATACAAAGAAAAATTTACTGACAGTATTGTGTAATAATCATTAAATAATAGGTCCTTAGCTGGAACTCTCAATGTGGATGGGCTAGCTCCCACCAAATACACCCTTGGCCTCTTCCCCCCAGGATTCAACCTTGTGCAGTAATAGCCTAATTTTATTAGTAATGTTCATTTGATCAAACGTTGAATGTAGTTGTGGTATTTGTTGTAGTGGATGCAAAGGATCAAATAACAGCCCTTACTGATGATATAGGAAGGAAAGCAGAAGATAATATCAGACAACAGGTATGTGCAATATTACTTTTCATTATGAATCATCTGATTTGGTTGGAATACGTTACCATTGCCTTAAAAGTGCCTTGAAAGAAAAACTATAAAAAACTCTACTCACTAATAATTATAATTGTATATTATACCATAACACTAACAGGCCCGTTGCTAGGGGTGATTCAAAGGTGTGAACGAATGCCTTTTTCTGAAGTCCTGGTAACGGGCCTGACTAACTTTAACATTAATCTGCAAGGTCAGTCTGAAGGTAGCCAATCAAATTCCACAAGATTAAAAAAAAAAGGATTTGTTAAATAATTTTGTATCTAAAAATTGTGATGAACAAAATTTTTATGTAGAGGAATCCTCCTGGACCACAATTCACTACAGTATCATTTCATATCCTATGCGCTAAAGCTTTTCATATCCTAATGAAGTTATATATTATTTCTGTTTATTAGGAAGAAATTTCTCAGCTGATTGATACTGTGGTTGACCTCCAGAGACGTCACACTCAGGTAATAATTATTATAATAATCAACTTCATTTAGAGAGAAGTATGACACTAGTCACTTGACGGTCGCAACTGATAAACTTGTGGCTTTCTATGTTTAATGTCAGTGAATGACACAGCTCTGCCATTTTACATAATCACCTGAGCCATGGTGAATGTCTAACCATTTGCAGATATTTTAGAGCAAATAGGCAGTGCAGATAGGTGTTGACTTTTCATAATGATTACGGTACTTACTCGATCTTGTTAATACTGAAAGCATGCATTTTTACTCCATAATTATTTATAAAGGTTGATAAGTTCATTTACACAATAAAAAATCTCACTTTTGATTGTGTACTATTATTATATTTGTTATAGTTATCGGAGGATAATGAGGAACTSCAGAGTCTCTTGAGTACATCACAAGTAGGTCAAGATGAACTAAAATCACAGGTATTTTTCTTTCTGTGTTTAAAAAGGTACTTTCTCTGTGTGCTTCTGTTATATTTCTTTCTCCTTAAAATAACAAGCTAAATTTCAATTTGATCTGTGGGTTAGCCATACTCTTACTTAGATCAGCCCAGAGGTTGTTTCAGGGTTCTATCTGTGAGTTAGCCATGCCCTAACTTAGATCAGTCCAGAGGTTGTTTCAGGGTTGGATCTGTAAGTTAGCCATGCCCTGATTTAGATCAGTCCAGAGGTTGTTTCAGGGTTGGATCTGTAAGTTAGCCGTGCCCTGACTTAGATCAGCCTAGAGGTTGTTTCAGGGTTCGATCTGCGAGTTAGTCATGCCCTGACTTAGATCAGCCCAGAGGTTGTTTCAGGGTTGGATCTGTGAGTTAGTCATGCCCTGACTTAGATCAGCCCAGAGGTTGTTTCAGGGTT